ATTTCTACATGGAGCATATCCTTCGTCTCTGCTCTGTGACGCATTCCATCGTGGCATTCTTCATGCTCGTGGCATACTACCACCTCAAGGTGAGCGTGGCATACCTCTAAGCATTCCTCTTCTTGCTCATGGTATGCCTCTTAGCATTCCTCTTCTTGCTCGTGGCATGCCTCTGAGCATTCCTCTTCATGCTCATGGCATGCCTCTGAGCATTCCTCTTCATGCTCGTGGCATGCCTCTGAGCATTCCTCTTCTTGCTCGTGGCATGCCTCTGAGCATTCCTCTTCATGCTCGTGGCATGCCTCTGAGCATTCCTCTTCATGCTCGTGGCATGCCTCTGAGCATTNATTCCTCTTAGCGTGTCTCTTTCGCTGCGGGAAATTTTTCGATGAAAGCAAAATCCAATGACAAGGTTCATAAGTTAAGAAGGTTGCTAAATGTCCCTTGCAACTCGTACTCATGATCTATTAACACTGTTATTATTTGCATTTTAAAACTAGAGTTGGTGACTTAGCATTAGAATTTTTAGGTACTGTTTATCAATTATTCCCATATTTTGTTTCGAGAAATGAAAGTTCTTCGTTCATGTTGTAATTTTTCATTTCCCGCAAATGATCTTCTCGTTCAGATCCCACTAGTGATCTTCTCGTTCAGATCCTAGTGATCTTCTCGTCCAGATCCTAATGATATCTTCTCGTTCAGATCCCACTGGTGATCTTCAAACGCGAGAAGGAGGTGGCGCGGAGGCTTGAGTTCGACGGCCTGTACATCGCCGAGCAGCCCGTGGACGACGACATCAAATCGCACTGGGACAAGCTTGTCATTTCTGCCAAGTGGGTTTGGGTCTGATAAGTGGGTCGTGGTGTGCCAAGTGGGTTGTGGTTTGCCAAGTAGGTCGTGGTCTGCCAAGTGGGTTTGGGTCTGATAAGTGGGTCGTGGTGTGCTAAGTGGGTCGTGGTGTGCTAAGTGGGTTGTGATGTGCCAAGTGGGTTGTGCTCTGCCAACTGGGTCGTGGTGTGACAAGTGAGTTGTGGTTTGACAAGTGAGTTGTGGTCTGCCAAGTGGGTTGCAGTCTGATAAGTGGGTCGTGGTCTGCCAAGTGAGTTGTGGTGTGCCAAGTTAGTCGTGGTGTTCCAAATGGGTCGTGGTCTGCCAAGTGAGTTGTGATCCGCAAAAGAAATGTGGACTACCAAGAGGATTGTGGTCTGCCAAGTGAGTTGTGGTCTGCCAAATGGGTTCGTAGTTTTCATTCTAGCATTTCTGAAGAAAATTAATTGGTATGTCATAATTTTAACTAGAATAAAGACATTAAAAAATGAAATATTTCTATATTTCGTCTTAGGTCGTTCCCGTGCAACTACTGGGACAAGTTTGTGAAGAAGAAAGTACGTCAAAAGTACAGCGAGACTTACGACTTCGACTCGATCTCTAACCTGCTGGGCATGGAGACCACCATGACGTTCAAACAGGACCAGCAGGCGTCTGGTGTCATCGGATAGTGAGTCATATTTTATATTATGTTATTGAGTATTTAGGGTTTTTATTAGGATTATAATAATAGAAAATATGANATATTATATTATATTATAAGATATTATATTATATTATATTATATTATATTATATTATATTATATTATATTATATTATATTATATTATATTATATTATATACATATGAAGTATATGTACTTATCATTTATACTCGAAGATCTATGAATCATTTCGTAATAATTATCAAATTTACAATAATTATAATTACAATATTTGTTTTCTGACAGTCTGATGTCAGTGGACTGGCGTTACCAAGTCTGGAAGGCTGGTGTCACCTTCACCGATAATGTAAGTCACTTACTGTTATCCATGGATGAATTAATACTTTAATTCAACCATGACTCTTACCATCGTGCCGTGTCTTGGTGGGATCCTTCTGAACAAGGTGTTGAATCATTTCTCCTAGTAGAAAGAAATGAAATTCATTTGTATTTATTTTTGTATAACGTTAACAGATAACGTAATTCGGCTGCTTTTTAAGACGCGAAACTTGCTTGTTATCGTGTCTTCTGCTGTTGAAAATATTTTGAAAATGATTATAAACAGTTTAATAATGTTAAAACTTTAAAATACTGTGTTTTGTATTATAAAATTTGAAGTTTTTCTTCGACCACATTTGTTTTCTTTGCCACTGCGTATTCTAAACGATCACACAACCGGAACTGGTCGCACGTCCCCTGCAGTCGTTCCTGTACAACTTGTGGTACCTGTTCTTTCCCTGCAGTCGTTCCTGTACAACTTGTGGTACCTGTCGTTCTCGCTGCTTGGTAACCTGAACTACTTCTTCTTCGCGGCCCATCTCATCGACGTGGCCGTGGCCATCCCCTCACTCAAGACCATCCTGCAGTCCGTCACTCACAACGGCAAGCAGGTTAGTTTCTGATTAATTATTGGCTCGATAAACCCCAATGAGAGCTTTGCTAATTATATTACTTTGATTAATGCTGTGATCTTATTTCTGATTGATCCGTTAATTGGTCTCGGAGATCGTATCTGGTTTGGGCCTTGATACTCGGATGTTCTCCAACTGCCTACATTTCATTTTGGTCTCACCGTGAGACTTGGGATAGGCTTGGCTGGTTCCTACAAGCCGTTCCTTCACTATGTAGGTTTGCCATACCTAAGCTGTTAAATAAGATAATAATCTGACTTTCATGCTTATACAGCTATTTATTTGCAACCAATGCGAAGTAGCAATGAATAAACGAATGAATGAAGGAGCCCAAAATGAATGAATGAATTAAGGAGCCCCAAAGTTAGCTACCAACGTATTCACCAAATTGAAGAGGTTCAGTTCCGTGGACTATAACGACGGTTGACCATGTATTAATTAATTATTTGGGAAGAGAGATGCTTTCCGCAGATACTGAGGAGTTTGCCACTAGTGTGGTGCTAATTGCTTTGTGGNCAGGTTAGTTGACCTGCAGTCCGTCACCCACAACGGCAAGCAGGTTAGTTGACCTGCAGTCCGTCACCCACAACGGCAAGCAGGTTAGTTGACCTCCAGTCTGCCACCCAGAACGGCAAGCAGGTTAGTTGACCTGCAGTCCGTCACCCAGAACGGCAAGCAGGTTAATTTCTGTTGTGGCTAGGCTATGGTTCACTTTTCATGCTCGCCTTTCTGCCAGTCAGGACCTTGATGGCCGCCGCCTCTGTTTTGTTGTTGTAATGCTTGATGCGCTTGGTGATTGCAATGCATATTAATTTTTGGCTCCATAAAAACCAATGAGAGCTTTGCCGATATTAGTTTGATTAATGCTGGGATTTCATTACTGATTGGTCCATTAATTGGTCTCAGAGATCGTATCTGGTTTGTGCCTTGATACTCGGATGTTCTCCAACTGCCTACACTTTATTTTAGTCTCACCGTGAGACTTGTGATAGGCTTGGCTGGTTCATATATTCCGTTTCTTCACTATGTAGGTTCGCCCTACCTGAGCTGTTAGATAAGATAATAATCTGAATTTCATGCTTATACAGCTATTTAATTGCAATCCATGCAAAGTAACAATGAATGTATGAAGGGGCCCAAAAATTAGCTAGCAACGTATTCCCTAAATTGAGGAGGTTCAGTTCCGTGGACTAACGACGCTTGACCATGTATTAATTAATTATTGGGGAAGAGAGATGCTTTCCACAGATACTGAGGAGTTTGCCACTAGTGTGGTGCTAATTGCTTTGCGGTGACATGCTAGTATAATATAATAAGGTATTGGACTTCGGCGAATCGCTGGCCATTCTTCGGCCACCTATAAAACAACCGTTTCTTTTAGCTGAGGAAGCTGGTTGTAGTAATCGCAACGTCTAAACCACACAGTGTTCTCTACAGTCACCTTGACCGCTCTTAGCCAAACCAAAAACCCTACCTCAACCTAGTTATCCGCTATGCACCTTTTTTCATCTTTTCCATTTTTACATTCCATATTTCCCATTTTTATTTCCTTTTATGGGTGATGTGGTCACCTCTTGTTATTTTCCACGCTTTCCTATAGTGGCAGCGCACTAAAAAACTGAAACGCTCTTATATTTCTTGGTTTGCAACCTTCGACATAATATCTGTTGTTATGATGACTTTGCATTGTCATATCTAGATGGTTGCTTGAACTTACAGCAAATTGTTACAATCATTGCAGTGTTCTCGTCGTAAATCCTTCATAGAATTCATTGTAAGTACCACCATGAATTTGTTTTGAATGCAGAACTAAATCCTTTCACAGGTGTCACCTCCTCTGAATTAATTATATATCCTGTATTGAATTTATTTCATATACTGTCATAAATTCATTGTAATCCTTACCTGAATTCATTGTAAATCCTTCTCTGTATTCATTGTAATCCTTATCTCAATTCATTGTAAATCTTTCCCCTGCATTCATTGTAATCCTTATCTCAATTCATTCTAAATCTTGCCCTGGATTCATTGTAATCCTTTTCTCAATTTATTGTAAATCCTGCCCGAATTCATTATAAATCCTATCCTGAATTCATTTCAAATACTACCCAGAATTTATGGTAAATACTGTACTAAATTCATTCATTCATTCATATTAATAACAATTAAAAGCCAATCCTGCTTATGAATCTCACTCATGCTGGCGCCCGCAGTGCTTCGTGTTCCACCTGTACAAGGGCGTCCGGGCTGGGGGCGGTATCGGTGACGAGATCGAGTCTCCTGACGGTGACGACTACGAGGTCTACAGGATACTATTCGATATATCCTTCTTCTTCTTCATCATCGTCATCCTGCTGGCCATCATTCAGGGTAAAAACAGTTGTTCATCTACTCTTAATGTTATGTTTTTTATATGACGTGATTTTAGTATCGAGTAATGTGTTGAAAACTTTGATTACAATATGGTAAATCTATAACAACTATACGTATATATAATTATCGTTTCTAAACCATAAGGCTGTTTTTATCACAAGATTATTACGTTATTCAATATTTTATAGTACTTAATTGACCAAATCCCTAGTCATTGTCAGTACGATGTTTCTTCGCATAGAGAGGTCCATGACCCGCTATAGTTTTCAACATTACTTCACACATTTATTATTTAATAAATTATTTTAATTTATTGATCGAATAGGTACCTATTCATTGTCATTATTGTGCCCCCATGACTCACTTTTTGCCCCATGACTCACTTGTTGATTTCATGACACTTTTTTATGTCCTGACCCCCTTTTTTGTCCTGAACCCCTTTTTTGTTATGACCCACTTTTTGTGTCCTGACCCACTTTTTTGTGGCATGACCCACTTCCTTCTCCATGACCCGCCTTACACCCCATGACCCACCTCACGCCCTATGACCCACCTTACGCCCTTTGACCCATTTTTTCGACCACTACAAGGTTTGATCATCGACGCGTTCGGTGAGCTGCGCGACCAGCTGGAGAGCGTCAAGGAGAACATGGAGAGCAACTGCTTCATATGCGGCATGCCCAGCGACTACTTCGACTCTGTGCCGCACGGCTTTGATGTCCACGTTGACAAAGAGCACAACCTCGCCAATTACATGTAAGAATTAATCGCAAATTTTACATTATTCCTTGAGGATTTGATCTGTGTAAAGCTCTTATATTCTCAACGCTTTGTGCTATTACTGGGGGCGTTACTTTATGTTTTGTTCAAATAGTCAGGTTTTGAAACTAGGCTACAGACCGACAGGGTCATGTGTTGAACGAATAAATGAAGAATCTGAACATGAAGAATAGGGCATCAGATGATATAACATAGCACCCCCATAATGAATGATTATTAAACTTATTACAAATAAACCGTTTACTCTGTTAGCAACAAGGCTTGGGTCTAAAATCCTGTGTTTGAGCTAAGAAACTAGCCTATGAACTACAGCCAATCTAGCTTAGAAATACGCTTTTCGTTCAGAGTACCTTAAATCTTGGTCCGATTCTATAATTTTACAACGTAAGAATCGTACCCAGTTTTGGTATAGTTACGCAGTCGGAAAAGGGCTAAAAATTAATGTTCTTGATTTATGTTCAACAATCTCCGTCAATGATGAACATGTTTGTTTTATTCATGTTCACCATTGACGGCTATTGGCGCACTAGAGATACTGTCCTCGTACGCTAGTCTAATCCATCCACGAGTTGCTTTTCCGCAGGTTCTTCCTAATGCATCTGATCAACAAGGACGAGACCGAGTACACCGGCCAAGAGACGTACGTCTGGAACATGTATCAGCAGCGCTGCTGGGATTTCTTCCCTGTTGGTGACTGCTTTAGGAAACAATATGAGGAAGAACTCTCAGGTGGAAGTAGCAGCTAAATACGCAGCGAATGCAGCTACAAGCCCCCATCTACCTCTTCGTCTTCGTCACGTTTTTTAGAACTTGCAGATCAAAGAGCTCCATTTTGCCTAGGAAATCTTGGCAAGTTCTTGCACAACCTGTAAGACATCCTCCTTATCCTGGATATCATGCCGAAGTCTTGTACGACATATAGGATCCCCTCTTCGCCTTGAAAATCCTGTCGATATCCTTCTCGACTTACAGGACCTCCACTTCGGCTTGGTAATCCCATCAATGTTTTGCAAAATCTACAGAAACATCACCGCGACGAATGCCCTTGCGCCGAACGATATTTACATTTATAGATGCACATTAAAACGCACACGATGGGGCCTCGTAATTTCAAACCGTTAAGCGGTAGCCTAGCGTTGCTAAACCATCTATTGGCGTGACCCTGCTACGCCATAATTTCTTTTGACAATTCTTATGAGTAAGATAAACTTCATGTTACTCCTGTGTTAGCTGCTAGAGCTTCTTCTAGCTGCACGGCGGTGACAATCAATCTGATGCTACCACCGAATTTCCTGTACGCGGAAGTTTGCTCCTCGTGTATAAATAATTTTAATTGACTTAATGAAAAAATTGCACTACTTTAACATAGCAACTTGTATTATCGAGCGAAAAAAATAGAACTTTTTGTGCGAAACTGCTGCTTTCGCTGAAACAGGATCTTTTATTCATATACTATCTATTGAGTTGAGTACTGATCATCTTAGCTTCATCGATGCCTAGAAAAATCTGAAGTGGTGTCTTTTACCACCACCTGTCTGAAGTGGTGAAAAATTATCAGGAGGTGAAATCACCACATATCTTCAACCTAAATATTTAAATATTTGAAGAAATACATAACCTGCAAGCCCATCATATCATTCTAAATTACGAACTTGTGGTTTTAATTTTCAATGTAAATGCTTGGTATTTGTTTCTGTTTGACCATGCATATCCTTCAAATACATATGTAGATGGCTAGAAAATCGTATTCTATTATTGTTATTAGAAGACTGAGGCAGAGTGAAGTTTGTCAGGTGATGGTCCTAGCCTAAAAGTCGATAATATTTAGCATTTCTCCTGTACACTTAAAAAATGAATGGTTCATATTATCCAGAAAATTCTCACCCTTTCCCGGTTAGAGAGCAGACGTGGCAAATTGGTAAGCCCCTTTGCTGAGCAAAACGAGCTCAACATGACCCACATAAAAGCGAAAAGTGCATCGCTATTTGGACAAATTGCTCTTTCTCTGAGAGTTTTCGACAGAAATATCAGGCGACTGGGCATGCGGCCAGACTATAAATGGTCTTGCTGGTTAAATCGATTGCAATTTTATTTGTACTTCAATTCGCTCTAATCAAAAACGATTGAAAAATGTTTTGTCATGATGATAACAGAGTTTCATATCAAAATGAGTTGTGTTTCATAACAATATGAGTCGTGTTTCATAACAAGATGAGCCACAAATTTTCAGCATTTAAACAGGATTTGGTGCAGTGTCGATTGAATTCGTTTTCAGTCATCAGCGAAGTTTCAAGAGAACTCGCGATATAAATTCTTTTTATGCTTAATATCTAGTCAAGTAGCCATTATTAATGAATTTTCCTCCTATATGAACCAATTGCAGTTACTGATAAACCACACTTTTAAAAAGCTCATTATGCTTCTCTACAGACTACTGTCGCGAGAAATACGTCTAATGTTATGAAGAATTTGCCTACTCTACTGTTATGAGGAATGCTCTTTCGGTTATGAGGAATACGTTTTGAGTATTCCTGTAGATTCGTGATGAATCATCCTTGAAAAGTTCAACGAATCTTTGTCTTGTTAGTGTGATAAGTTTGTTTACTGTTCTAACAGTGAATTTGATGCCTTCTACTTGACGCTAGTCATAGTGTACCTTTTAAATGTTTAAAATGAACATGTAGGGCATGCTGATGATATTATCAAGTCAAATGAAACTTTTCGATTAATTATTAAGGTCATTAGAAACGTTGCGTCCGTAGTCGTTAGTCGTGAAATTTCATCACTCAACTTCCTAGTGTGTCTTGTAAATGTTTTCTATCCATCCATGAATTAATTACTATCTTAGCCTCATCCCAGGTCAGCATTTCTACCCAGAACGTTTCTCGCTACTCTCAAGCTCTCTTCTTCTAATTGAATCTTCGATATAACTGCTTTACATTGCTGTTCGTTTGCCACTCGCTGAATTAAATGCAAGATTTCGCTAAGAGATTTGGTCAATCATGCATAATGAGTCCCATTTTCTTCTTTTGTTATCACCGGCTTCCCATTTTCTAATTTTCAGTAGTTCACTGCTCCCTTCATTGACATGATTTTCCTTCATGGTTCCTGCTGGACCTTTACGTTTTGCGACCTGGATCTGTTGACCTTCTCCACTTAAGACTATAGTCGAGGTTATTAGACTATATTTCGACATCGAGATTAGACTGAATTTGTGCGTAAGACAATGATTCTTCTATTGAATACATTTTCTCATTTACAGTCAGCTCTTCTGTCTGTCCTCTACTCGAACAGTCTAACTCTAAACTATGGTTGTCTACGACTCTACGCTACCATATGATGTCCGCAAAGCGGATTGTTTCCCGTTATTAGAATATTTTATAAGATACAGTTGTGCTCGAAGCTCAATCGAGAAAATCTGGTGACAAATTTTCAAATAAAAAAAAAATAAATGACGAAAAACTTGATATTTTCATGTCAATTTTCCAAGTTATAAAGATACATTTCTCTTTTCTTAGCAATAACGACTATGCGCAGCCAAAAATAGACAGCTATTGTTTCTTCGCAATAATAATGGTGATAGTAATTATAGAGTCGACGTTGATGAGTCTAAATCTAGCCTGTCACCAATTCTAGGCATTGCCGAGTGTTTGACAATTAGCTGGGACTCCGAACCGCAATTCACAGCTATCGACCATATCGCCGATTTCGCCCAGAATATTTACAGTAGTTAGTTGGTATGGTCGCCACCGCTCCTTACTGCGCTTTTTTTGCTGTTCTCTATTATTACCCGCGCTGCCCACCTCGTTGGTTATCTAGTTCATGGAATTTTGATGACCTAGATAGATTGAAGGCAAAGTTAATTGGAGGAATATTACGGGCGTGTTATCCATTACTAGCGATATTTTTCCTAGAGAAGAGAAATATTCGTTGATGACATTTATAAAATTAAATCAGTAAAATATTCACTCATTGATCTCCCTCCATAAATTTCACAGTGAATTCTTTTAGTTTCGTACTTAGATTATATTTCATTTCGTTAGACCAAGTGGCCGATCACACACGAAAATTCGATCTCAGACTTGGCGAGCTAAGAAACAATATGAATCTCGTTTGCAGTTTTACATTTTACTCTTCCTAGTGACTTATAATTCTCGGTCAATGACCATCACTACTGCTTTAGGGTACATCGTCAGTGACCGACTGAGTTTCATTGGTCCTCGAAGAAAGCCAAACTTCTGAAGGCGTTCGGGGGAGCTGCTGAGCCAGATGGAGCCCGACATGATCGGCCCCTGGACCGTCCGGTGACAAGATAACTTGATGGACCGACGATGATGCCACGTCATTGTGAACTACACCCCGCGGTGATTCCACAGCGTGGTGGAAAACACCCCGCGGTGATGCCACGGCATGGTGACCAACACCCCGTTGTGATACCAAATCAGAATGACTCCGCCGTCCACCGTGAGGTATCGGCCTTCTAGATGGCATCCTTCGTTTTGGTTGCTGCCGACTCCCGTGACCTGTGGGTCGTTTGCTTCCTCTAGTACTCCTCAACAAACTAGTAGGTGTCTCGTAGTGTGCGCTAGGCTGGTGAAGAGAAAGAGCTGCGAAAGATAGAGCTGCGTTTACAGGGTAGAAGAATGGGGCGTCCTCACAGTTGAAGTTGTACCACCAATCGCACACGAAGTACTTTTGGTTGAAGACGGTGCCGTTCGGACACAGGTAAGAATCTTGAGTTCCATCGTGATGACACACGTGGAATACCTGTAAATATTTAATTAATTTGTTTCAGTTTCAAAATAATAACATGAAGTGAAGTAACAAATATTTGAAATGCCGCATGGGAATTCATTTCTTATCATCCATCCAATTAACTTCCCCAGTCTCTGTTTTTATCTGCATTTTCATTAGTAATATTTCAGGTAAGTATAGCAATCAATTCCTGAAAGAGTCTCAGTTATAGAAGATAATGCTTCTCACTTGGCAGCCTGCGTCCATGTCAGCGTAGTATCCTGGGTATTCTGCCACCAGTCCGCATCCGAAAGATGTGTTGGGAATGTAGCCTAGAATTGGATAATCTTTCCCGGCTCGACCTTGTGTTCGAACAAAAATATGTCAGTCAGGCTTCTTCATTTCAAAATACGCTTTCTTAAAACTGGTTTAGTGTTAAGTGACTATTTCATCCCTAAAAACTCATCCCTAATTCATCCCCTTAGTAAGTAACGGAATTTGGGTCAATTCATTTCACGTGTGTAGTGTTGTACTACGTCAGATGACCAAGCATTAAAAATAAAATACGTGAAGTGCAAGTCTTATGGCTTTAGTTGAGTACTCCACTTACCTGGCACACCAGCAATGTAACCGAAGCTCTGAATATGGCCGTCGGGATAGGAGGAAGGTAGAACGTGGAGAGGTAGCTGGGATCGAGACTCTGTCACTCCCAGAACATCCAAAAGATAGTCGTAGTCGTACAAATCGTCGTAATAGTAGTCATCGTCATCAAAATCGAAATAATCTCCAGGGCTGCTTGTGCCTAGCTGATAGTCTTGCAGGATATAAGGAACTAGAGAAATTTCTGGTAAATCTTGGTTCGGTTGAGTTTTCATATAGGTGGTTTCTCGATGAGCGACTGGACTGTGAATTGAAGTCGAGTGCGGGGATTTCACAGGTTTCTGCGTTACCTGAACAGTTGATGCTTGACTGGACCCTTTTAACTTAGCCAAATCATCCTTGGCAACCAAGGGCTTGAATGTGGTGGGAATTACTTGGCTAGGTGTGTTTATTTTTAGAGGAGTTGGGGTCGTTCCCCTGTACGATATAGTCGCTGGAATATTCTTGGGCGTTATGGAGACGTGATGCGATTTCGGTGTCACCAAAACGTGGTGCGAAGCAACACTGTGGGTATTCACTTCGTGCTCGTATACTGACACCTCATGTTTAATGGGCGATAATTGAGTCACTTTTGGGTATGATGGTAAGTTTTTGCTGTGGTAGCTCATGACTTCGCCGGCATTTATGTGAGCTTTGTGCGGGTGAGGACTCACCTCGGGATGAGGAGAATGAGATGAGATTGCTGGATCGTGTCGTGGAGGACCATATGTAGGATTGGGTGACGTCGGAGGGGCGTAAATCGGAAGCTCCCGTGTAACGTGTTTGGGAGTTGAGGAGATTCTCACCGGAGTTACGTAAATACCTGATGGAGTTGTCACTTGTACGCTGTATTTTGACCCGCTGGACTGATCAGGAGAAGGTATAACCGGATAGTGAGGTAGAACTGGAGACTTGATAATTTTTTTTCCAGAGTCCAATTTTGGAAGGAGTTGGGATTCCAGAGGTACATGAATGTGAGGAGGTGGTGGAGAATTATATGTTCTAAGATTTTCGTTGGGGTTGATGATGCGAAAATGATCAGGTGAAGATGGTAAATGGCGCGACGATTCATAATTTCTAGGCGTTGTATACGTCACAGACAAAGCACTTGGCTGTGAAGCTTTAAGTGCGTAATCGGATGGCATTGGAGACGAATACGAGATTGGGTTCTCTGTATGCTTTGAATATTCATGGTTTGGTTGAGGTGTTGGATGACGAGAGTCGCTCTTCAAATCCATCAACCATCCCGGAACAGCTGGTGATTTGGGGACAGAATGACGAATGGCAGATGGAATTTCGTAGCGGTGCGGAGGGATTGGAACATTGTACTTGTTTTCATTTTTTGATGACTCAGGAGGATGATATTCTTGTTGCTGTTCATAGAACACTGATGCTGTTGTTGTGACAGCTGGAGGCTCGTAAAATCGATGTTCATCATAACCGCTATGTTTTTCGTTATTTCCAACAATTGTTTTATCGTTTTTGTGTTTTAATTCCTCGCTTCGATGATCAAGAATTATTTGTGGGCGAGTAGGCTGCTCTTTCCGATTTTCCCTCCTAGGTTTCGTAGGTAATTCATGTGAATGTATTGAGCTTGATAGCGGAATATTTTCATGAGGTGAGTTTGGCTTGAGCAACGGATGTAGATGTATGAGAGAAGCATCCGTTATTTTGTGCACGTTTAGATTTTTGTATTCTGTTGGTATTTCCTTATTACGCGCATCGTTTGTTCTCTTGAATTTAAAAGATAATGGTCGTCGGTAGTCGAGATGCGTTCGAGTTCGCACTCGAGAAGGTCTTCCGTATCCTCTCTCTGTCAAGTAGTCTCTGATACCAGACTGACTTTCCCTTCGGTGATTCTTACTCTTACTTCTTTTTGATCCTCGTATGGCGCCTGTTTCTTGGGTCATTTTGACTTCATTTTCCTCCTGATTTCTCAACCTGAGTGCCCCTAATGGCAGAGGAGACCGTCGTGGAGGAAGAACAAGCCGTTGATCGTTGTCCGCCGCAGCGACTGAGTGGTCATGGCGATGGAGTCGTGATAGCGGCCCGTGCGGTGTCGACGAGTTTTGTCCAAAATGTGGCATCACTGTGACTTCAGTCTCGTAAATATCCGGTATGCCGATATCATTCCGAATCCTGGGTGTCCTTAAAAAGTTGTAAGGTGTGAGTGTAAAAGTTAATTATATATTTCACTATTACAAAATTTCATTTCACCGCTATTGATTTTTGAATTGTTGAGAATCTCCGTAATTTTAATTAATTAAAAAGGGCTTGTTAGTCATAATATGCATGCATAATATTTTATTTGACTTCATTTTATTTAAAAGTAAAACTATGATTTGGTGCAGACATAGTTGGTGCAGCTCGTGAAGGAGTTAATTTATGTATCTAAATTATTTCAGGAGGCAAAATCTTTAAAGCAAATATAAGTAGTTCACCTCCATCTAATAATCGACGTCGTTCGTGCTGTTGTAGATAGAAAGTTTTTAAAAATTTTTTCTCCCTTCAATAGTTTTCATTGAAAAGAAAGCGGGTTGGGCATTCAAATAAAACTTTAAACCTTTACAACGGCCGCATCAGCTGCCGTCAATAACGCGTTTTGTGGCTAGCAAGGTCTCTGCATTAAACTGGCCGCCTTTTAATGAAAACAATATAAAACTTATTTAAAAACACCGTTTTTGTTTAAGCAGAAAAAATTTCAAATACATAGAAACGTTACTAGATTATATGGACTTGACAACAGCGGCAACTCATGTGCTACTGAGGTGGGGCTTTGGCGATGGATATGAACTTCTTTTTTCAGTCATTCGAAATGAAAATTGAGTTTTTTCCGCTAAGTTCTTATTCACCACAAAAGCTCTACTTACTTGGTCGTGTAAACTGAAGGTCTCTTCTTGAGGCGGTAACGGATCCGGTTGGTGAAGGGATCACTGAAGGAACTCACGAGGTCTTCCTGTAGCCTCTCTCGCAGCGTCCGGCACAGCCCACTGCCCTGTGGTTAACATCCACTTCAATAGTAGTAATGGTTATTTGGCTCTTTGTATCACTAAGACTATTTTATTTTTATTGGTACTAAATTTTATTTAATTTTTCGCACCACAAAGGTTGTGTAAATTTAAATGGTAGAGTATTGTGCAGTTCATTGCAAGAAGGATATTTTAATTGTTCACTTTTTCACATGACGCTTATCAACATTAATAATTACCGGTGGACATAAAGGAGGAGGAGCTGCAACCCGAGTATCACGGAGCTGGTGGAAAAAAAATAAAAAATAATAATATTGCGATTAGCGAGACGTGCCTTTGAACATTGCGCGAGAGTATTTGATGAACATGATCAGTTCGTTGACAACTTTACTACCATACCTACTGGGAATTAGTTACCAAAAATAAAGGATCAATTAAATTGTTAGCAACCATTATGTCTGAAAATTTATGGAAAGGAAAATTAATGGAATATAATAGAATGTTCGAAGACACTCACCTGAGTTTCTTCGTTTGTCTGAAGTTCCTCCTCCAACGGGTCGTCTCGCACGTCTGGAGGTCGATACGCAAACCCCGACTTTTTCGAAATCATCTCGGCCAGTAAGAGTTTATCCTTATGTATGCGATCATCTATGGACTTTTTTGCGTCATTTGACGCTTGATTTTTCGGAGAATAACTTGTTGATTCATCATCCTTTGTATCTTTTTCCTGGGATCCTTCATGGTCGATCGCTTTTCTAAGATTGCTAAATCTGTTCAGAAGCTCCTTATCGTTTAGGGACTGCAAAAACGATGTGTTGGTGAGACGATAAGAGAAAGGTGATGATGCTGACTTCACAGAATCACCATCTAAATCCATTTGCTGTAGGAATTCAGGCGAGGAATCTCCTTTGTCTCCTTCTTTCAGAAAAAGTTTTCTGGCTTGAGCGATCTGCAATTCTGTAGGAGGATGGAACATTCTTGGCAAGTCTTCTTCAATGGACGTCTGAAGTTTCTTATCCACTTTGATTTGAAGTTCAGACCGTTTTTCCCTCGCAGTGCTTTGCCGGGGAGCCTCGAGTTGTGAAGAATCCTGCTCTGTTTCCGATGACTGGGTTGAGTTATCAGTCGAAACAGAAGCAACTGTTTGTACAGCAAAAAAAAAACATTTAGGTTAGGCTTAGCTGAATAGATGAATAATCCAATTAAAAGAGAAAGCACTGTTTTTAGTCACTTTATCAATATTTAATTAGCAATCATTACTCTTATTTTGAGAACAAACGAAGTACAGTTAAATTCTTACCCGCCGCCAAAAAGAACAATTGCAGTAAGATCCATTTTCGAGGAAACATTGTTTCTATGAGGTGAACGTTGCTGTAAAATGATAGATTCTATGCATCAGAGTGCCGTTGCTTGAGCACTTTTACTGCTAATTTTTGAAAACTGAAAGCATCGAAATGTGACATTAACATTATATAATAATATCCAAGTATTTACAACATTGATGTACCATTTTAAACCTGCTATTCTACACTGATTTTGAATGCGCACCATTGACAAATTTTTGCAACCTATTATTCCGCTACAAGCAATTGATAACTGATAAGGTCACTTTAACAGGTACAGTAATCCCTTAACTTGCCAATCGCTCGAGTTTCCTTCCGGACTTCCGCGTCATGACGGGTGAAATCCGCTGTGGGGAATTGAGCGAGTGATAGTACTTATTTATGTATTCATATATAGTCACTGTCTAGTAATTTTTCATTGATTTACGTGTTTACAAACCCTTCTCACATTCATAATGCCAGTAAAGTTCCGAATTTGGCGATCGACTTCCTCAGAAATCCTCAAACCGACGAAGATCCGCAAATAGTTCTTCCCAAATTAATGTTTCTTGACAACACTCGATGAAGTGAAGCCGTGGTAGGTGAAGCGCGATATATAGCAAGTGATTACTGTAGTTGCCTTTTCTTACTAAACTGACATCCGGTCACCACTGGCTTGCCTGCGGCAATACTTTTGCTCTCAGTATTACCTGTAGTCCTCACACACATGGTGGAGACATCCTTTCTCTAGTGCTAATGGCCATGCTTGTCTCGCTGCTGTCTTTATGGCTGCAAGGGAGCGGGTCCTTCCTGACATGACCACCGCTTTCTTCTGCCATATGTCGAGCTTGACCCACGCGCCCGCGTTGAAAAACTCTGGTCAATTATCAGGACTCCGGCTCCTGAGAACTCGCCAAAAATCGCTTGCTAATTGCTCTTTGCTTGTCCTCGTTTTAGGAAAAATACGCCCACGAACCAAAATTGTGATACAGACGATTGGTTAAACATTGCCAGTGTGATAAAAGTTGGTTATCTTGCAATAAAAACGACTTTCCATAGACATCACTTTACTTTAATGCCATGCAATGGAAATTGCTTTGTATAAACATCACTATACTTGGCTGGCGTCCAATTAAGTGACGGTATTGTAACGATGCTATGCTTCAATAACTGGCAAATCCAGGTGCTGCTGCAACTGACGCCTTACATTCCATGATCTCGAAGCCGAAAAAAAAATTATCATGCCTCGCCTTGTAAATGGTCCGCGCCATACGCTGCTCTTTCAAAAGAATAATCGACTTTCTCAGACTCAGATCGAGTAAGGAACTTTCAAACAGCATAGCACCAACCGTTAAAAAGAGAAGGGTGCACTTTTGATTACTTTCTCTACCCGTAGGCTTTAAGAAAAATAACTTGAGAAAGAAATTAACTCCATCACGAATTATTTTACAAACTTCTCTCTATCAGCCACTCATTATTATTTATTTATTTATTTATTATTATTATTATGTTCTTTTGAGTTTCGAGCTTCCAATGTCCAAGAATCAAATTATCTTATTCATTAATGATGTAAAACAGTAATGAGATCTTATGCTGCAGATATTTCGTTAATTATCACACGCCTTTCACATCATCGACGTGCATCCAAAACACAGAATTTGCTGCTATACGTAATCCCAAGCAAGCTTGACAAAACCTCACAGTGTCTGTCAAAACTGACGAGTCAGAGTACTTACAGTCTCTGACGTGTTGGAGACAGTCTGCACTAATTATTTCATAATATTTTTAACGCGGTTTGTTATGCGATAAGACGGCCACGTTAGGACAACAGTTGAGACCTCTCCAATTGACGAGTCAGAGTATTTACAGTCTCTGAAGTGTTGGAGACAGTCGGCACTAATTATTTCATAATATTTTAAACGCGGTTTGTTATGCGATAACACGGCCGCGTTAGGACAACAGTTGTGACCTCTCCTTACGCCACCGCGCGGCTCGAGATCTTTTTCCTTTCATCGGAGCAGCTGACGCGTGGAGTGGCGGTCGCCAGCGCCCGCCAATTTGTCACTCAACACGAGCAACGCTCACAGGTCTCTACGAATTTTCTAATCCCGCTCGAAATGTGTGGATCATTAGGCATCATCGTCACTCGTTCATGGAATGAGAATTATGTTACAGTTGAATATGAGCGGAATTTATTATAGTATGCCAAGTTACTACAGTATAATAGTAGCTAGGCATCGTCGCTCGTTCATGGAATGAGAATTATGTTACACTCCTTACAGTTGAATAGGGAGCGGAATTGATTCTAGTATAATGCAAATATCTCTGCACCAAAACGTGCATTTTTTTGTAGATTCGATTGTACACCAAAACTAAAAATATGGATACATGAAAAATTCATCAATATTTTTAAAGTATCAATTTGATATATTGGTTTGAATATGTTAGTTTTCTAAGTAATAGATATAAATCTGTAAAAAGATTCTGCAAATATAAATTAACTATATATACGATCATCTACAAGTGATCAAATCATTCAGATTGGCTTCTTCAAAATATAAATGAGCTTAGTTCAATTTGTATTGCCCTTAATTTTGGTTGTTCCAATACCGTTTTAAATCAAGACTTCGGAATCGACTTTACTCGGATACTTGAGTAATTAAAAAACAGGTAAATCTTTAGAGACATTTAATTAACTGTTCAATTTTTTCTTTTTTGTTAACCCTACTGAGTTACCATCAGAAGACAACGTCTTAAGCCTTTGTCTTGTTAACCGCTACTGAGTTACCAGCAGAAGACAGCGTCTTAAGCCTTTGTCTTGTTAAGCTCCACTGAGTTATCGTCAGAAGACAGAGTCTTAAGCCTTTGTCTTGTTAATCCCTATATACTGAGTTACCGTCAGAAGACAGCACCTTAGGCCTTTGTCTTGTTAACCGCTACTGAGTTACAGTCAGTAGACAGCATGTTAACCTTTTTTCTACAGTTACATTAACCGTTATCAGAACAATTCGAAACTAAACCCCTGCCAACGCGAGCTACTATCAGGATCGAGATTTAGGGTCAAACTCTGAATTTGGTTCGTCTATCCGTCCGTTACTTGAGGTTGCTGAAATTGTTGAGTATGCAAATCTGGATTAATCTAATCTGGAGTGTGTAAATCTGTATTATGCAATTCTGAAGCATGCAAATCTGGATTATGTAATTCTGTTCTATGTAATTCTGGAGTATGCAATTCTGGAGTATGTAAATCTAGAATATGTAATTCTGGAGTATGTAAATCTAGAGTATGTAATTCTGGAGTATGTAATTCTGGAGTATGTAATTCTGGAGTATGCAATTCTGGAGTATGTAATTCTGGAGTATGCAATTCTGGAGTATGTAAATCTAGAATATGTAAATCTAGAGAATGTAATTCTGAAGTATGCAATTCTTAACAATATCAGTTGGGTTCTAACACGCAGCTATTTCTAAGGTCACCAAACATGTCTGGCTTTCATTTGTCAGAAGCCCATGGAAGTTGAACCTTAGACCATATATACACGTATACAAATTAAATATATATGCTAATATATGCTGATTAACATGGGTGACGCACGTTTTGCCCATTGTGTGGGTCATTGTGACCCAGTTTTCTCCGACAAAAGGGCGTTTCAGTGCAATGTACGTCATCCATTTTTTAAAATTCTCATTCACTTTTCTAATTGAAAGATTTGAACGAGACCTAAAATTTAGTGACAAAAGTCGATCAGAATTTTAAATGGTATGAATAAAACGGTCTGAAAACGTAATAAATTCCGGTAAATAATTTATGTCTAGTATTTTGTAAAAAAGAAACAAATTTCAAGGCCTATGGTGCTATAGTAAAGAACAACGAGCTGAAAATACTCATCAGGCTTTGTCAAGTATTGTAATTTATGGCCATTGTGAGTTTGAAGTGTTAAATTTAATAGATTATCCCCAAAATATTTCATCACAAGACCTATAGCTTTTCCTTCGCTAGCGCTTGGCAGGAAATTATAATTCGTTTACTTCTACGTAACTTGCTATGTAATTACTAAAATTTGTGAAATTTTACAATATATCGCATCATGAGCTTGAATAAATGTTTGTTAATTATGAATGATAATGCCTCGAGCTTTGCAAGCCTTATGAAGAAAAGAAGCGATGAAAAGCAGTCGTTTGAGAGTCTCTAGAAATGTATTGAATCTTGCTTTTCTTGATTAAACTGAAATACATGTACTTGAACTATAATGTAATAATAAACAAGCTCATGCTGATGACTCTTGACATTCTAGTAAATACATGGATTCACACATTTTTTGACAAAATATATATGTTTTATGATAAAATATGGTTACCAGCACTCGCACATAAAGCTTTCCCTTCTGGTAACTCGTTACCTGTTCACATTTGTTACCCAGTATCGTAAAATATTTCCTTATCGAAATGAATCGGGAAAATAGACTCTAAAAATTGCACTAAAAAAATGACAGTCAAATTGTTCATATAGTGACGCACTCTCTGCTCGTTGCACTGATACGACGCATTTTTACCCGGCCAATCTGGATGAGAATTATCTACACAAGGACGTTAAATGCATCGTTATTTGGACGAAGTCACCCTCATTTCAGTGAGTGCACGTGAGAGGACGACAGCCAAGCTGGCACGTGAACCTCACACCGACGTGGTGGCAGGACTGCTGCTGCCGCGGCCCCAGCGTCCCTCGTCAGCGCTGCTGCTACCGGCTGCGACTTTACACAACCAGAAAAATGAGTGACATTTTGTCCAAATAGCCATGCGCTTATTACCCTTCACTGACTTATTCTCTTCACTTTCGCCACACAGAAAAATTATCGAGTCAAATTGTCCAAATAGTTACGCACTTCCTTTCCCACAGCACGGTCATAGAGCGGACGTAGGACTGGCACTGCGTAAGTCCTTTTGCTGTATCAAACTAGGTCATGGACCCACACAAGGACAAAAAAGTGCATCGCTAGTTGTAACATTCCCCAACAATTTCTCTGAGTGTTTTGTGGAACATCCTGACAAAATTCGCTAAAAAAAACTATCAATGCTACGTCAGCCTGTGCTTGTGCTGTTGGTGAGACAGAATGTTACTATTTGGACAATATAACTAATTCTTTTTAGCGCATTTTCTCATTTATGGAAAAATGCACTATTGTGCTCGTCATGTCCGTCTGTCCGTCTGTCTGTTTTTGTCGACGAGAAAAAGCGCTCTCTGTCACTCACTGCAGCGAGTACTGAGTTATATTTTTTATGTATGGGAGTGGAGCTCTGGCGCCACTACCAGAGAGTTGTGCTCTATGTTGATAATGATATTCAGTGAATGTGGTATGGAGGTTGATTCTCAAGATACCAGAAAAGTTGCAGGATTAACTTATTTATTCGTTTTCAATCTTTGACTGAAAACTTTCTCACAAAAGAGTCCAAAAGTCCGGCATTTAAAAAGTGCCCCCTACAGCCATTCCGCTGTTCGAATCAAATCAAAAATAGTTAGAACAAAACCCTAAATAAATTACCATGGTAATTTACAAGGAGTAGATGGGTGTATTTTTATACTTCCTCAAACTCTTCCTGTTCAAAAACCTTCGTTCCATCGCTGCACTCTCAATACTTGCTCTTTACTTGTATGCAAATAAATCCCTCGCTGCACTCACAATACTTGCTCCTCACTTGTATGCAAATAAATCCCTCGCTGCACTCACAATACTTGCTCTTCGCTTGTATGCAGATAAATCCCTTCCATCCCTCGCTAGTCGCTGCACTCTCAATGCCTGCTCTTTACTTCTGTGCAAGTGAATAAAATTTTGTCAATCGAGTGCAAATGCCGTACAACCCGCTTGAAATTAACCGAATCGACACTTCAGCGAACTCGCCTGCGAGCTCGAAACTCTGGCACTCATAAATCCTTCAATAATGACAGATTTTTTTTAAATTTGAGTAGATAATATCAGTAATTTGCGGACGGAATTTTTTCGAATTTTTACATCAATAACTTTTTTCTTAATACGGAAAACCTAACTTAATTTTCAACTCTGGCACTCATAAATCCTTCAATAATGAACGGATTTTATTCAAATTTGAAATATAAGTAGATAATATCAGTAATTTGCGGACGGAATTTTTTCAAATTTTTACATTCATTACTTTTTTAATATCACGGAAACCTAACTTCACGTTTACCTCGCAGGTTAGGTCCTAGTCAGGTCAAGTTTCAGTATTTTGTTAATTTTTTGTTAATGTCACAAAATACTGAAACTTGACCTGACTAGGACCTAACCTGCGAAGTGAACGTGAAGTTAGGTTTCCGTGATAATAAAAAAAGTAATGAATGTAAAAATTTGAAAAAATTCCGTCCGCAAATTACTGATATTATCTACTTATATTTCAAATTTGAGTAAAATCCATTCATTATTGACGGATTTATGAGTGCCAGAGTTGAAAATGAAAAATGCTTGCTCTTCACTTGTATGCAAATAAATCCCTTCCATACCTCGCTGCACTCTCAATACCTGCTCTTCACTTGTATGCAAATAAATCCCTTCTATCCCTCGCTGCACTCTCAATGCTTGCTCTTCACTTGTATGCAAATAAATCCCTTCCATACCTCGCTGCACTCTCAATACTTGCTCTTCACTTGTATGCAAATAAATCCCTTCCATCCCTCGCTACACTCTCAATACTTGCACTTCACTTGTATGCAAATAAATCCCTTCCATCCCTCGCTGCACTCTTAATACTTGCTCTTCACTTGTATGCAGATAAATCCCTTCCATCCCTCGCTGCACTCTCAATACCTGCTCTATACTTCTATGCAAATGAATAAAATTTTGTCAATCGAGTGCAAATGCCGTAAAACCCGCTTGAAATTATCACAGTCGTATTAGGAAGTTAAGTAACTTCAATGAATTTTTTTACGACTTCTGTGACTTATATTACGTTCAGGTGGAGTATGGTATAGAATATGGTGTTTTCGGCGCAGAAGAGTAAGTAGACCGGTGTGGCCTGTCGCCGATTATTGCACTTCTCATGACTTGTTCACAGGATATCTAAAAACTGGCCTTTGACCAGAGATTTAAGTTTATTTGAAATAGCTACTAAACTTCTACTAGGCCCGTATGGTGCTAGTCGTTTCCTGTCTGAACATATACTTCGCCATAGCTTCTACCAGCCTGATCATCCGAGACGTACGTTATTTAACTCGCATTCTAACATCACTTTATGATGAGGCTGATATAATTGCTGTCAGGTAACTAAAGAACTTTTTTCAGAATAGAAAGATTATTGAGCTAACCTGACACCTATTCCCTTTTTCAGTTACGTGGAGATACAACTTTAGGAAACCTTTATGAATATCTACATTTCGTCACCTTATGAAAAGTCATGCTACAGTCGTAATGGATGCATAATGTTGATATGGGAAAATTTTCATGAATAAACAACTGAACCCTATATTAATATTATGTAAGATATGCTATCAATGCATTGATTACTAATTATAAAAAAATATATCTTTGTTTTTAAACAAGGGATTAGAACCATTTTGAAGGCTCCACGCGTCGAAGCAATTCTTGTTTTCGTGCAGAGAGAAGCAGAGTATCAACTTCGTGCCGGCACGTCACTATCATAGTTGCCAACTTGTGTTTCTGAATTTGGAAATGATACTAATTTAAGTTGGTATTGTTGTGAATAATTTTGAGAAAAATGCTTAAATGTGATTTTTGATGGTTGAATAGTTTTTTTTAATTGTCTAAATTTACCCTTAATTGTAATGTAAGTTTGATTTTGAGGCATTTGGCACTTACCACTTCAGCCACCGCTATGGATGTAAACATAGTCAGTGTGTAGAGAACCAGCTGAGGTGAAGAGGTGGCGCTTCCTCCCGGAATTAGTTAAAAAATGAAACTCCCTATTAGATTATTACTGTTAACCTTAATTGGTTTACCATTCTTAATATCCATTATCGAACCTGGTGAGCATCAATTATTTTGATTTCTGCCCGAAATTTTATTAGCTACAGCTATTTCGTTCATGGAACTCTACTCTATCATCCATGACACTGCCACTGTCTAAGTCTGTTAGATCTTGCTCTTTTGACTTGTCACTGCACGTCAACAAATTAATGAACAACAATTGCCAGTGAGTCAGTGACTAAGTCTTACTTAGGTACCAGTCTTCACCGACAATTGCAGATATGAATCGTTAATTTGTAACCAAAATTTCTATTTACTTGGAATTTAAATCGAGAATTCTTATTGGTGCATTAGAAAGTTTTTTTTTTTTGTGTTTCATCTCATGACTTAGCCTATGTCGCGCCAATCACAGATTGTGGTGATTGCACATTTGCACTGCAGTGTGCAGTCTTGAATAGAATACCTACTGTCAAGTGTCAATGACACAGGTTGTGCCGAGTCAGTGATTGTTTCTTGATAGGCTAGGCCTTATTTGATAATGTTGCACCAACAGGATCAACTGTCATTGATGCCACTCACCAGTTGCCACATAAATTACAACTCCTTATAACACTGGGCAGAACTACAAATTGGAAGGTTTGATTGATGACCCATGAGCTTTCTTGCCATTTTTGGAGCCTTGAAATTCCATATACCTAGATGAATTAGGCTATCTCCTATCTAAATAATAAGAAAAGTGCATACCTATTCTGGCCATAAGATTTTAGATAACCTAGCCTTACCTAGGTATTTAAAAAATAGGTCACATTATTCATTTGAGATTTTATAGTAAGAAGTATGAAAAATTTTTCTAGCACATGATAAATAAAAACTTTTCAAAGCCTTTTTGATTATGCTAGAAAGATATGGTTCAGATTTGGATCATTTGGTTATAAAATACCATTTCTATTGAAGAGCCTGAGGCCAGTATATCTACTCATTTGTGCTGCTGGCACAAATATCAATATTGATGTAGACAATCATCATCACTGATGCATAAAAGTTGCTTTTCTGCTGTCAATATAAACCATGCATTTCAGTTTACTATAGTGGCACAGCTGCACAGGGCTGGAAAAGTCCTAGGGTAAATGCGGTATATTACAACATTGTAGGTAACTAAGGTAATTCTGACACCTCTCTAGTTTTTCCTTTATATTAAGCTTTGTTTTAGTTCCATGCATTCGTTGATGGTTGAAATAGTGACGTCATACATTTGCGCGTCAAACTACTGCCAAAACACTAGGTCTGGGCCATCTAGCGGGAAAATGTTGAGATCCAAAGAGAGATGGTGCATGCCAACCAAATAGTGATAAACTGTTTGTGTAGAAAGAATATTATGGTTTGAGACTTTTAAATATGTCTGTGCATATATTAGGAATCCTTTAAGGGGAGCGTCTACCCCAAAAATTATCTCGGCTATTTACAGACGGATCACTTTGAAACTTGGTACACATATGTCAAATCAAAAAATAGACAGCTTTTATTCGTGTCAATTTTTCGAAAAAAATAAAAGAAAACGTGAAATTCTTAGAAAACGGCCAAAAAAGGGGGTACTGTAGAAATCTATCTCCTCCTAGAATTTTCAAGCTACAACATCGAGACGCATATCATTCGATGCGTAAGGACCATATCTATCGATTCGTCGTAGCTTTTTTCGAATTTCGAATTTTTGTGGATGTGGGAGCATTTTTCCCAAAATTTTCGAAAATTTTTCGATTTTCCCCATTTTCCCTTCCCTTTTTTCAAAATATTTTCAAAACTATAACGAAATTGAAAAAAAGCTACGACGAATCTCTAGATATTTCAATTGCAAATCGAATGGTATATGTCTCATCGCTNACATCATGAAATATGGCTAGACATTCGTAAGGTAGCGGTGAGGGTTAGGAAGCCATTGTGTATAATAACCACCGAGTAGTGGCATCTATATGATCAGCATAGAAATAGTCGCTTTACCTATGAATCTCTAGATTTTGCATTATATAACTAATGGCCCTGTCTCTTATACACATCTAGATGTGTATAAGAGACAGATTAGACAGAGCTTATTTCCCAAGCAGGGTTAACTATTTTGTGACCCTTCTTTACATAGGTTTTCTTTAAAAATTAGCCAGAAATTCATTATTTGCAGAAGAGGGTTGAAACAAACACTGAAATGACATGCAATGATTGCTCTAACATATTCTTCCTTCAAATTAAATTTAGTTCAATTAGAATGCATGCCATGGGCTGGTCCTTTCTTACCCCACGAAGGCTGCAATCCTGTCTTACCCCATTTGACTATATATACCGCGTTTACCCTACTTTTTCTGAAATATCATGGCTCTTGTATCATATAATTTTAGTAGGTATGAAATCTTATGGCTCTAATGTTGTGTATTTTTGTTTGATTGGAAAAATTGCTGTTTGCAATTTGCAAACATGTTTTTTCATAAAATTTTCAACTTGTGCAATCTGCAGTACTTCAACGCTCTGCCAAAAGATCCTGCAGAACATGATAACATGTCAACCTAAAACATTTCCTTGAAGATTTCCTTCCGTTGGAGCAGGCAGACTGCATTATCACATGTTTAGTTGCCAATTAAGTGAAGACAAATGTTAGTGTTAGTGTGTTACTGTTTGACTGTTTTAAGGGTAAAATTAGATATTTTGGGTAACATGTGAACAGGACTTATTAAATTAGTTGGAGGCTCATAAATGGTTTTCGTGGCTGAGATATGGAATTCATGGCTTGAAAAAAATGAAATCACAGTTGGCAAATCTATAAAACCATGGTTAAAAAAATTCAGTCGTGGCTTGCCAAGTAGATATATTCCATGCCTGTAGTGGCAAGGCTAAGACTTCATTAGACTCTACTTTGTTTGTTACGAGTCTTGTAAGTAGACCAGTTGAGCGACAGAGTGAGTGTAATGGGTAGAAGTATTGTCATACATAGATATTGAATACAATTTTGAACTAGATCAGAGAATTGAAAAATTGACGTTTTAAATCAAGACTTCGGAATCGACTTTACTCGGGTACTTGAGTAATTATAAAACGGGTAAATCTTATGAGGCATTTAATTAACGGTTAATTTTTTTATACACATGTTCTAAACTTTATCAACGCTATCCGTACCTAAACTGGGAAAGAAAGTTACAAGACGTTTACCGTAGGGACAGCGTCTTAAGCCTTTGTCTTGTTAACCGCTACTGAGTTACCGTCAGAAGACAGCGTCTTGAGCCTTTGTCTTGTTAACCCCTACTGAGTAACCATCAGAAGACAGCGTCTTAAGTCTTTTTCTATTAACCCCCTACTGAGTTACCATCAGAAGACAGCGTCTTGAGCCTTTGTCTTGTTAACCCCTACTGAGTTACCATCAGAAGACAGCGTCTTGAGCCTTTGTCTTGTTAGCCCCCACCTGTCTCTTATACACATCTAGATGTGTATAAGAGACAGCTACAAGCATGGTACATTTGTAAATGGCAGTGATTTGAGTGCTGGAGCACTGTAGTGCGCTTGTCCGGGGCCTCCCACGCCTTTTGCGGGGCATGTGCTCCATCCTGCTCCTAAATTACATAAGTACATGATAATTTAGAATGCCACCATGATATCAACTGTTCAAACTGCAGCTAGACCTTTCAAGCCATTTTTGGAACCATAAGATTCTCACTAGAATTGTGATTCCTGCTCATCCGTTTTACGAAAGTGTGAAAAATGCCCAGTTTTAAATATATTTTTGGATTTTTTGTATAGTCTTTGAAATTCAAAAATATCTTTATATTTTAATAGACCAAGGGGTTTCAATAGGAAAAACTGACTAACATAAATCAATCCTGGCAAACTGAAACCAAGATAAATGAAGTGCAAAGAATTGGATTACTATATCAAAAGTCATGATTTTTTTGGCATGAATAAAATTTCTTTTTTTAATTGTATGGATGAATTTTCAACAGAGGGGCTAGTTCAGTGTTGATAATACAAATTATTTTAACATTGAAATTGTGCAATTAATTACTTTAGGTGTGTCCTTTGATATAAATTAGTTTGTGGTCAAGAGATACCTTGGTAATAGTTTATCTCCAAGAATCTTGGCTTGATTACAATTCTCATAAATCTGACCATTCACAAATCACTGACTTGTAAACTCTGATGCATGTCTGGCTAAAATGTACCTTAAAAACTGGCAGTTCTTTAGTATTGTAATATCCTAGCAGAATTTATAATGCCCCAATCATGCTAATGAATCAACTTTACACGTTTGCTTCCTGAGCTTCTTTACAGAATTTGATCTTTGATTAAAGCTAAAAAGTTTAACTAATGAAGTAAGAAATTTTTAATGTTAAATGCAGTGAATATGTTGAGTAAATGTACAGTCATTTTTATTCTATATATGTAATAATTTTTTTCCCTTTTTACAGGCAAAGTTTTTGCTAGAGCTGAAGATGCAACAGAGGATGATGTGGAGGAAGAAGAAGCTCAAGTGGAAGCTGGAGATGTGGAGGCTGCTGAAGAAGAAGTAACTGAAGAACCTAAAGTACCTGGATCTCCTGACATAGATTTGATCATTCTCTTCACTAAACCTGAAGGAAATGGCATGGGTGAGGACAAAAATCACTGTATCCAGAATTTTACTTGTATAAAAGGTCATGAGTACCTTCTGTTCCTTAGGGATGATTCATAATTTGTAAATTTTCTGAAGCAATTTGATGTGTGATGGATCCTGTCTGGACAGGGTATGAAATAACCTTCAATTTTATATTGAAATATTTTCATGTTGCAGAGCTGCCAGCTGGAAAACCTGTTGAGTTCTTGGTTGGTGTCACCAACAACGGTGACCACGAGTACGTCATTGATGCTGCTGAGGCTTCCTTCCGGTGAGTTTTGCCTCTCCAAAATTGTTCCTGAAATCTGAGGGGTTTTGAAGTGCTAAGGCATTAATTAAGCAGAAGAGAAGAACAAGTTAAGGCTCAAGATGAATAATTTTGTTCAATTAGTAATCATATTGGCTTTATGAAAAAAATTAATAAATGGTGCAGAAACTGAATTGAATTAATAACACACTATACTTTTTTTTCTAATATTAACTGTACAATAATTTTCAGATGATTTTTCAGGATTACATTTTTTAAGCTTGTGTCTCTCAAATGAGGTACAGCAGAAAAACCTTGGGTAATAATTTCGAAAGTAAGTTGAAGTATAACTCTGCTCTTATTAGTTATGGTTGTGAAGTGAATGTAGACTTGATAATTTCTTGTGCCATTGCACGAGATGCGTCAATTTATTTTTATTTTTTTTAAGTTTTTCATTATAAAATATTCTAGATACCCAATGGACTTCAACTTCTACATCCAAAACTTCACAATGGCTCAGTTCAACAAAATAGTGAAGCCTCAGCAAGAAGCCACGGTTTCCTACACCTTCTTCCCATCTGATGTTTTTGCTGGCAGGCCTTTGGGTCTCCAGATCAACTTGTACTACCACGATTCTGTGAGTCACTGTCTACTAAACTGTTCAAATAGTGCCTTAGTACGTGAATGTTCCTTCATATGTTCATCCTCGTTAGTATTGACTACATATGTCAAGTTATGGAAACTGAGGTGTAAAGCATCAGGTTTTACACCTGTACATTTTAAACATTCGCTTGAAAACTGTTGCATAAGATATAGATTCTCAGCTTAGGACTGGCATTTTTGAAAAAATTATCCCTTAAATTAATTACTACTAAAACTTGGTAGCATAAATTGTTGCTGTTTATGCCCATCGTTTCTCAATCCTGTATGCAATAACAAAAAATAAGTTCAACTAAAAAATTTGTAACAAAAATAATTTATTTGTTACTTACTTTCACTTCTGTTGATGCCAAATGTTCAACTTGATTAAACTTACATTTCTTGATCCACGTGTTTATTTCAGGATGGAGAAGACTTCTCAGAAGCTGTCTTCAACTCGACTGTAAACATCGTGGAAGTTGATGAAGGGCTTGACGGAGAGACATTCTTCCTTTATGTCTTCCTCATCGCGTTTGCTGTGCTGCTCCTGCTCGTTGGTCAGTTCTCGTATGCTTTAATTTTAAAATAAATAAAATAATAATAAATTTCAAAATTTGCTCATGTACATACACGAAGTGTCCTGCGCACACTGCGTGGCTGATTTCTCATCTGCAACTGGTGGGTTTAGCTTGAAAAGCCATCAGTAATTTGCTGACTGACCTACGAATTCGTAACTATTTTTTATTTGACGTCTTCTGAATATAGCGTTGTGAATTGGATGGTGCGCTGTAACGTTAGTAATGCTTTAACTAGCCAAGCGGGTGCATTTAACTAAACTTATTCAAATTCATAGATGATGAAAAACACTCTTGAAATTATTAATTTATTTTTTATTTATAATTCTACATTCTTTTGTCTTGATTTTTTGGGCCTGAATCAGCAGAATATTTGCGCTATTTATTCCTTAGCAACTTAACTCGAAATATGAATTACGTATATTTTAATCTGTGACCAGCTCAGGATAATATTTGGTAAATGGTGAATTGTTTCTCTGTTTCTTCTCAAATTGGTTATTTTAGGTACCGATGTTGATTTTTCTTCAAACGTTGTTTGTGATCCCCTGCTTCTCTCAATGATTGATTACTGGTGAGCAGGTCACACGCTGCTGAGCTCGTTCAGCGCCAGTGGAGGCAAGAAGGGCAGCGCCAAGAAGCAGTCGAGCCAACAGTCTGGCGTTGAACTAGGCACCGACTCTGCTGACGGCGTTGACTACGACTGGCTGCCCGAACATCTCAAGGCTGAACTCAAGAGTAAGTTATTGGTTTTTGTTGAGGGAAGGAAACCAGACCCATGATATACTTTTCTCTCATTAGTTTTCATTATTACATTTTCTATTCTTATTCAAATCTGTTAAGTATCTTATTTGAAGTTGCACTTTTCAGGGCAATCTCTTATGACCCGCAACGGCTCAGCCACAAAAACACGGAAAAGCAATCAAAGCGAGAGATCTGTAACTGAACCCTCCAAGAAGTCCGCCATCACAACCTCCGTCAGATCAGCGCCCAAGCAATCGTCTGCTAGGCTCAGGAAGATCTAAGCTAACTGGTGCACAGCTACACCTTCACCATTAGTTTACTTCACATCAGTGACGTTTTGCGTTCCGCTCGTAAATTGTTTGTGTTGTTGCTTCCGAGTTCCGAGAAACAGTTGGTGATTTTTCTGCTTTCTTAGAGAATATCTGTGAGTGAATGGGCGACAGTCACACCTGATCTTCAGTTTGTGTGATGGAATGACACCCATGCAATTTAATGAATTGGTGGCATGTATTGGTCGTGTAGCATTCCCTTTAGTTTTGTTTATTTTCCTAGATGAGACGTTCATCTAAATCGTATGTGGTCAGAGTTTTGAGCAAGTATGATTCAAAGCAAGAAATGCATGATAATTAGAATACATTGACGTTAATTAACTCTGTAAAGCTCGCATTTAATTTAAACATTTTCGTTCATTACTGGCGTGATCAATTAGTGTGACTCTCTCCTTTAAGATTTCCTATCTCAGTTCTTATAATAGAAAGATATGAATAAAGCTGTTCACAAAATCACATGGTCAGTTGAGGCCTATTATGTTATATGATATTAAGATGAACAATATTCAAACTCTGTTTACTTAATGGCTTCATCTGCTCACCTTCTTTTGACGTTAAAATTTTTCTGGAAGGGGACTAGTTTTCTTTCTTTGCATTTTTAATGTTTGTAAATACTATAAACATGTTTGCCCATACTTTTATTCAGTTCAAAGTTAGAGACCGTGACATTTATTCAATTTGTAAAATTGTGTTTGATTCACATCGCGTTGTGAATCTTGTTGTTTCTTACTTGTTTTAAAAGAATTTTGCGTTCTCGATGTATTTGTTAGCCATTCTCTAAATTTTCCCACTATTGACGCTAGAGTACCGTTTCAATTTAGCATGTATGTATATAAGATTTAGGCTTCTGAATGTTGTGATCAAGCTCTTGTCGGGCTGTGGAGTGTCGGTTCTTTTTTATTTAATGAAATATTTAACGTAATTATTTTAGTACCTCCTGTCTGCATTCGAGTCTCGTAGCGTCCGTGAAATTGTTTGTATCCCGCGTTGAATGGAGTTAGTTCTACGTGCTCGCAGACACGTGATGTGCGTTGTCGGCCTCGTGTTGAGAGAGCTTATTCCTCTCCCGTTATGTTTTAGATCATAATGGTATTTTCAACATATGACTTTTTTTCTCCTGTCAATCAAGATTAGAATTAAATGATTCACCTTAAAGTATCTCATGGATTAGAATGATATTTAAACTCTCATGACATTTGTACTTGATGATTAGAATGTTCTTAGAAGTACAATCATCATCAAACGTTACGAACTAGACTAGGGTGATGTTGCAACTCTGAAAACAATGATGATCTCATTTGCGCGATTGTGTTCAAATTTGCAATGTGGCTCCATCTTGCTGAAACCACACGTTCCTAAAGTTCATTTCTTCGAGTCTTGGAAGAAAAAGTTCCTCGATCATGTTCCTGTAACGAGCTCAATTAACGGTAACTGCGCGTTCGTTTTCTTACAAAAATAAGGACCAATTATTCCCATTACCGACGTCGCACACACCAATAACGCATGTTTAGCTTGTTAACGCAGCCGGAAATGTGGAAGTGAGCCTCGCCACTGAAAAAAAAAAACGACCGCGTCTTCAGGCAGGTTGTCAACCAGCATTTTACATGCATTTTGAGAGGCAACAAAATCGCGTTCAGTTAATTCTTGCACTGCAGCAAATTTATTTGAGAAACTGAGAAACAAACTTGGGAACTTTCCCCTTCAGATGCACCCCCTCTCGTCCCTCTACCCGATCAACTAACCGCACAGGAATTTTTTCAAATAAGTAAGTTTCTGTGGCGCACCCCTGTAATAGCACGGGTATAGGCAACACTTTTCAATTTTCATCGATGACAGACAAAAATAATAAGCTAATTGCAGTAAAATCCCTACAAAATTACAGGCATGTTGGTGTCACCAAGTGGATTTGATTAGATTGTGGGGAGTAATAGTCTTTATCATTTGCTTGGTTTTGAACTGATTTTCTACGCTTATTTATTTTTATAGACAGACTAGCAAATAACCTATATAGTACGTCATTTTAAACCAAACCCTTGCTCCTATTCACCTAAACCTCAGTACGCTGGACAATATGATGGTTGAACTATAGTTCAACCATGGGGCAATATGACAATTTCGCAGTCTGTACATAGGGTACAATTATTTCAGCATTAGGGTAATAAGCGCGCAGCAGTTTTTAGATTTGTGTATCGTTGCTCGTGCTCATGTGTGCAGCTCCAGCTCTCGGAGTGAATCGTATAAAGCGCAGCATTCCGTCAACTCACCCGTCACCGAATAATAATAAATAGGCTAACTCGTGTGTGCGCTATTATTGTGCCTGTGTAATCACTGTAATGAGTGTGTATGCTGTAGTGTATTGTATTTTTATTATATTGTGTTGTTTGGTTTACCTGCTAAAATTTAATTTCCAACAAAAATTGTGATCAACTGACACCACGCACTCTTAGCTATTTTTTCAGAAACTTTATTCTATTTACCATACTTTACATGCTAAATTTCAATTATCATTATTATAATTCGCAACTCGTAAGTGCTGCCAGGCTGAGTGCCAGGCTGCCAGCCTGCCTGTGCCTGACCATGGTCAGGTTATCATATCATTCATATGAGCTGCCTAGATTGCTAACGTGTCAACTCAGGACGCAGGTTCTAAGAGTCAACACAGTAATGAATATTCATTCATAGATCACAATTCAATTGGACGTGAATTACAGAACTAAAGAAGGCAACATGGCTTTAGATGTGCCATCGCCCATCGGTGCCTTCTAAAGTTCTAATGAATGACTGGACAGTCTGGACTGGTTGTGCCATTGTGGCAAGTAGGGTAGGCCATAGTGACAAAGCAGAGAGTTTTTTAGACTCTCCCTCAAGTTCACTTTTGAGTCCTATAAGTAGATTAGTAAAGTATCATGGATACCAGCATTATC